AAGGTATGTTTCTGAGGGTGTATCTCTTTTTGTTTTCCCCTCAATTCAGGACCAGAAAAAATCAGACTGGTAGGTCTCTAGTAAAAGTGTCAGTTTTTCCCAATTCCAAACTTGAGGTCTTTTCATCTGTAAATATTCCATTTTGTATAAGCTGTAACTCCCGTGGTAAAAAAAAAAAATTCTCTCTCATCTTTATTGTAGGCAATCACTTATTAAAAAAAAATAAAAGAGACATTCAGAAATAAAGCAGTACTCAGCAAGGAACAGAGTGTTTTTAAAAAGAAAACAATGTCCTAGTGTAAAAGGGTACACAATATTAATACTTAGGTGGAGTTTTCCCCTTCCATCCCTTCCCAACCTCTGGCACCGTCCTCCACACCCTCCAGCATAAGACTTTCCCTGTTCCCTGTGGTCTCCAGGGACCTCATTAAGAAATTCATAAGGGCCTAGACTGTGGGCATGGGAAGCCGCAGAGATTCCTCCATTGCTTGTGTGAGATTCTTCTAGAAGACCTTGAAGCTCTTTCACTAGGTGAGGTTCTTCTCCCCCTGGGCTGAGCAGAGCTGGGAGACTTTGTATCCTACCACAGAGCCCTGGAGTGGGGGGGTCTCAGCTCATGAACGCTTGCAGAAGTGGAGGGGGTGCGGGTACCACACAGGCATGATCTGTGAGCCGGATCAATTGTCTGCTTTCAGAGGATGTTAAACAAAGAGTGATGATTCATCGACGAACTCTGTGGGAGGAAGTTTCTTTCAGCTGAGCACAATCTCAGTTTCAGAATGGGCCCAGGGCCTTTTGAGGCTTGGTGCTGCCGCAAAGTGTTTCTTTCCGAATAGGAAGGCTTGGGTGTAATTGGAGCAGGGGCATCTAGCGTGGAACCTAGCAAAACCCAAGTATAATGTGGATGTTTTCTGTTTGGGACCACTTTGAAATCATGAAGGAAGATGCAAAGGGGAAGTGTCTTTGGTTTAAAAAAAAATAATACCTATATTATTTATTCCAGCTTCTGCCCCCCTAGAGTATGATTTTATTAAAGATCAAAGTATTCTTTTTATTATTATTAATATTTTATTTTTTGAGATGGAGTTTTGCTCTTGTTGCCTGGACTGGAGTGCAGTGGCGCAATCTCGGCTCACTGCAACCTCTGCCATCCAGGTTCAAGCAATTCTCTTGCATCAGCCTCCCAGGTATCTGGGGTTATAGGCATGCGCCACCACACCTAGCTAATTTTTCTATTTTTAGTAGAGACGGGGTTTCTTCATGCTCATCATGCTGGTCTCGAACTCTGGGCTCAGGTGATCAGCCCGTCTTGGCCTCCCAAAGTGCTGGGATTGCAGACATGAGTCACCACGCTCGGCAGAGCAAAGGATTCAAATGCAGGTGTGCTGGAAAAAAGATCTTACTGGGAGGCAGCGGGCCTGAGTGTCTAGACTTGGAATGGGCGGAGGAGCTCATTGGGGATTGGGCAATGAGGATTCAGTTGCTTTTCTTTAAAAACAAATAGGCTTCTCTGTGACCATGAGGAAGACAGGAAGGATATCCTGTGAAAAAACCTGCCTTTGCGAGTCTGTTTCCAAAGAAGCGCTCTCCTGCCTTCCTTCCACCATCCCTCCCACCTTGTCTGAGAGCTGCTATCCTTGTAAACATAGATCAATCCATCAGTCCTAGTTCCTGCTCTTCGTTTCCTCTTCCCGCTCTGCAGGGGTGATGATGAGCCCCAGAAAGCCACCAGGTCAGCTGGGGATAGGGGGAGGTGAGAATGAAAAATGTGTCTGGGAATCCTCTGCTGGGGGAAGCAGGGATGTCAGGACCATGGAAATGGGGTGAATAGGATTTGCTGCCCATTGCTTGCTCTGGAGGGAAGGTGGGATCGGGGCAATAGTGATGTCTGCTTGTTGAGTCTTAGGGGCCTTGGGGTAGGGGGTCTGCCCTGTAAGACCTCTCCTCCGAGCCTTGTTGGGAGCCTCCAGTGTCTGTTAGGAAAGATGGCAGCCTAAGGCCTCATTTTCCAGGGCTTCTTCAGATCCTGGGGACACGATCTCTATCAACCCAGCCATCTTTTGGCCATCACTTGGGTGGTCGTATTCCAGGCAAATGATAATTTCTTGCAGGCAAGTCCAGAGGTTCTCATGAGCTTGTTCCCACTCACTCTTCGGACGGTGTTTTCAGAGGCTCAGAACCACAGGCTTATTCTTTTTTTTTTTTTTTTTTTGAGACAGAGACTCGCACTGTCACTTGGCATGGAGTGCAATGGCATGATCTTGGCTCACTGCAATCTCCGCCTCCTGGGTTCACTAGATTCTCCTACCTTAGTCTCCCGAGTAGCTGGGATTATAGGCACACACCACCACACCTGGCTAATTTTTTTTGTATTTCTAGTAGAGACAGGGTTTCACTATGTTGGCCAGACTGGTCTCGAACTCCTGACCTCGTGATCCACTCCCCTCGGCCTCCCAAAGTGCTGGGGTTATAGGCGTGAGCCACCGCACCCAGCCCACTTATTCTTGCCATGACTTTACGTGGATTTTGTTTTGTTTGATACTTAACGGGAGCCTTACCCAACCAGCTAGAGTAAAGCGTAAGAAGTTCATTTCTTCTTTGCAAAACATGCATCTTCGTCTTCTCACGGAACACAAGGATGTCTTTGGAAAGTGGTAATTAGGAGGGCAGGTTCTTTAGCATAACGTAGGCTCCCTGGATTCTGATAACCACTGGGGTGCATTTCCACACGACTAAGTCCCCAAGCTTCCTGGGGTACTCTAGGGCACTCCTCCTGCGTGTTGCCTGGCGTCATCATTAATTCTACCACCTGACATGCTCAAAAATGACCCACTTTGGTCTCTCAGAATCCTGTGTCCCAAGTGTCCCAGCTGTAACTCTGATTACGTTTTAAATAACTCTGTCTAGAACTTTTCTGCTGGCAAATTCTGCTTTGTTCTGGTGATTAGCAGAATCTACCTTTTTGTTTCAAAGTGTGTTCTAACTGGGGCCGGCTGTGCTGGTTGGTGCAGAGGTGAAGGGGCTGCCACGTGCACTTTCTTTCACCTAAAATTTGCTTTGGATCCCAAAGTTATTAAGGCATTTGAATGCTCATTCTTGCCATGGCAGAGTTTTGACCTTTTTTTTTTTTTTTTTTGAGACGGAGCCTTGTCTCGCTCTGTACCCCAGGCTGGAGTGCAGTGGCGTTATCTCGGCTCACTGCAACCTCTGCCTCCCGGGTTCAAGTGATTCTCCTGCCTCAGCCTCCTGAGTAACTGGGACTGTAGGTGTGCACCACCACACCCGGCTAATTTTTTGTATTTTTAGTAGAGATGGAGTTTCACTGTATTAGCCAGGATGGTCTCAAACTTCTGACCTCGTTATCCGTCCGCCTTGGCCTCCCAAAGTGCTAGAATTACAGGCATGAGCCACCACGCCCGGCCTAGAGTTTTAACCTTTTTATGATCGTTCTTACTGTCTATGTTACATGTGGTAGGGACTTTATGCAGGTTTCTTTTTTTTTTTTTTTTTTTTTTTTGAGGCGGAGTTTCGCTCTTGTTACCCAGGCTGGAGTGCAATGGCGCGATCTCGGCTCACCGCAACCTCCGCCTCCTGGGTTCAGGCAATTCTCCTGCCTCAGCCTCCTGAGTAGCTGGGATTACAGGCACGTGCCACCATGCCCAGCTAATTTTTTGTAGTTTAGTAGAGACGGGGTTTCACCGTGTCGACCAGGATGGTCTCGATCTCTTGACCTGGTGATCCACCCGCCTCGGCCTCCCAAAGTGCTGGGATTACAGGCGTGAGCCACCGCGCCCGGCCTTATGCAGGTTTCTTATTCTCTTTTTTTCCTTTTTGGAGATGGAGTCTCACTCTTATCACCCAGGCTGGAGTGCAGTGGCACAATTTCAGCTCATTGCAACCTCTGTCTCCCAGATTCAAGCAATTCTTCTGCCTCAGCCTCCTGAGTAACCGTACAGGCACCTGCCACCATGCCTGGCTAATTTTTATGTTTTTAGTAGAGACAGGGTTTCACCATGTTGGCCAGGCTGGTCTCGAACTCCTGACTGCAGGTGATCCACCTGCCTCGGCCCCCCAAAGTGCTGGGATTACAGGAGTGAGCCATCATGCCTGGCGGAGGTTTCTCCTCCTCATAAGGATCCAGCCTACATTTCTCGGCTACCTTTGTAGTAGGGACACAGTTTTTGTCTATCAAACTTGAGTCTGTTTTGCTTAAATCACACTTAAATCACAATTTCACTTAGTAATAATGATCTAGTTTAATATTTTTTCTGACTTATATTCTCATTTCATGTGGATTCTTCAACTCAAGTAATGTACAGTTTGATTTGATTCTAAAAACAATGTGCAGGCTGGGTGAGGTCTCTACTAAAAATATAAAAATTAGCCAGATGTGGTGGCACAATCCCAGCTACTCAGGAGGCTGAGGCAGGAGAACTGCTTGAACCTGGGAGGTGGAGGTTGCAGTGAGCCAAGATGGTGCCATTGCGCTAAAGCCTGGGTGACAGAGCAAGACTCCGTCTCAAAAAAAAGAAAACGTGCAGAGTAGTAATTCTGTGTAGTGAGACTCAGAACAGATGGGGTTCTCTTGAAAGGTATCATAACAGTTTTCTGCCCGGTCCTGTTTTATTCCCATCCAGCCTGATACTCTCCAGAAACAATTACATTTGTTCATTTTTGTTTTTAGTGCTTCTAGTGACTATATCTCTAAGTAGTATGAATAGATGATTTAATTCTCAGCTTCCTGTTATGATAAGTGACAGTTGCATCTCACCTACTTCCTTCCTTCTCCACATTTTTGATAATTATGTTTATGGTTCTTTTTTTCTTTTCTTTGAGATAGGGTCTTGCTCTGATGCCTAGACTGGAGTTCAGTGGCGTGATCATGGCTCACTGCAGCCTCATGCCCCCAGGCTCAAATGATCCTCCCACCTCAGCCTCTGGAACAGCTGGGAGTGCAGGTGCATGCCACCATGACCGGCTAATTTTTAATTTTTTTACCTTAGAGTTAGGGGTTCCACTATATTGCTCAGTATGGTTTTGAACTCCTGGGCTCAAGTGATCCTCCTGCCTTGGCCTCTGAAAGTTCTGCATTATAAGTTTGAGCCATGGCATCTTTTATTTATGATTCTGAAGTTGATTATTCTTCAATCTTTATATTACCGAAATAGACCTTTAATTGAGTACCATCAACCAATGACCGTGACTTTTAATCCTTCCCTGCCCTTGTGAAATTAGAAAATGGATGTCATGATCTTCTCTTTTCTCTTTTTCTTTCTGGTTCTGTCTCCAGCTCTGTCAGCAGTCAGGAGTGGTAACATTGTGTTGGTACATTGTATTTCTGTAATCATGATTAAGTCTTCTAGGTTTTCTCTATAAATTGTTCTTATTTTTACAACTGTTATTAAGATATACTTCCACCTCTTTTTTTTGTCTTTTTTTTTTTTTTCCTTTTTGTGGAGAATGGGGTCTTGCCATATTGCCCAGGCAGGTCTTGAACTCCTGGGCTCAAGCTATCCTCCTGCCTCTGCCTCCCTAAGAGTAAAGTAGACATTTCAAGGCTGGGCTCGGTGGCTCACACCTGTAATCCCAGCACTTTGGGAGGCCGAGGCAGGCAGATCACCTGAGGTTGGGGGTTTGAGACCAGCCTGACCAACATGGGGAAATCCCGCGTCTACTACAAATACAAAATTAGCCAGGCGTGGTGGCGCGCACCTGTAATCCCAGCTACTTGGAAGGCTGAGACAGGAGAATCATTTGAACCCGGCAGGCAGAGGTTGTGGTGAGCCCAGATTGTACCATTGCACTCCAGCCTGAGCGACAAGAGCGAAACTCCATCTCAAAATAAATAAATAAAAAATAAAGTAGACATTTCAGTGTTTTTCGATATATTTATGGAGTTGTACAACCATCACCACAGTTGTTTTTAGGACATTTTCATCACCCCAAAAGAAACCCTATTCCCATAAAGTCTCTTCCTTTCCCTCCCCTTCCTCCCAGCACCTGGCAACCACTCATCTACTTTCTGTCACCATGGATTTGCTTAGTCTGGACATTACGTAGAAATGGAATCCTATATTACGTGGTCTTTTGTGACTGATTTCTTTTATTTAGCATCAAGTTTTCAAGCTGCTTCCATAGTGTAACATGTATCAGTACTTCATTCCTTTTTCTGGCTCAATAATATTCCATTGTATGGGCATATATTTTCTTGAGCCATTTATCAGATGATGGACATTTGGGTTACTTCCACCTTTTGGCTATTGTGCATAGTTACTATTATGAATGAGTATGATACAAACATTTGTTAGGATATCTTTTTTTTTTAATTCTTTTTTTTTTTTTTTTTTGAGATGGAGTCTTGCTCTGTTGCCCAGGCTGGAGTATAGTGGCACGATCTTGACTTACTGCAGCCACCACCTCCCAGGTGCAAGCGATTCTCCTGCGTTACTCTCCTGAGTAGCTGAGACCACAGGTGCATGCCACCACGCCTAATTTTTGTATTTTTGGTAGAGATGGGGTTTCACCATGTTGGCCAGGCTGGTCTCAAGCCTCTGACCTCAGGTGATCCACCCGCCTTGGCCTCCCAAAGTGCTGGGATTACAGGCATGAGCCACCATGCCCAGCCTTTTTAAAAAATATTCTTTTGGATATAAACATAAGAGTGGAGTTGCTAGGTCATACAGTAATTCTATGTTTTTTTTTTTTTTTTTTTGAGACGGAGTTTCGCTCTTGTTACCCAGGCTGGAGTGCAATGGCGCGATCTCGGCTCACCGCAACCTCCGTCTCCTGGGTTCAGGCAATTCTCCTGCCTCAGCCTCCTGGGTAGCTGGGATTACAGGCACGCGCCACCATGCCCAGCCAATTTTTTTTGTATTTTTAGTAGAGACGGGGTTTCACCATGTTGACCAGGATGGTCTCGATCTCTTGACCTCGTGATCCACCCGCCTCGGCCTCCCAAAGTGCTGGGATTACAGGCTTGAGCCACCGCACCCGGCCCAGTAATTCTATGTTTAAGGTATTGAACCACCAGAGTATTTCCCAAAGTGAGTGCACCATTTTACCCCCCACCAGCAGTGCATAAGGAGTCAATTTTCCCACATCTTTGTAACACTTGTTATTGTCTGTCTTTTTGTTTATAGCCATCCTATTGGGTGAGCAGTGGTATCTCCTTGTGGTTTTGATTTGCATTTCTCCAATAAATAATGTCATTGAACAGAACATTGTTTTGTCTACTCACAGGCTAATTGTATATTTTCTTTGAGGAAATGTATCTTCAGACATGTTGCTCATTTTTAATTTTTTTTGTTTTTTATTAGTAAACTGTAAGAATTCTTTATTCTAGTTATAAATCCCTTATCAAATATATGATTTGCAAACATTTGCTGCATCCTGTGGGTTGTCATTTAATTTTCTTGATGATATCCTGTGCATATTTATTTTTAAAAGCTGAAAGTCAATAAAAAATATTTACTTAATCATGATTCTGCCAATACTTTTCACTACATATGTAGGTGGTATGCTCATTTACAATTTCTTTTCTACACTTCTACTGGCATGACTAATTAAGTTATAGATCAAGAAAAGGAACACAGGAAACATTTTGTTTTAAAACACCAATTTCAAACTTAAAAAAAGCAAAACTTTGTTTACTTAAAAAACTCTGTAGGCCGGGCGCGGTGGCTCAAGCCTGTAATCCCAGCACTTTGGGAGGCCGAGGCAGGTGGATCACGAGGTCAAGAGATCGAGACCATCCTGGTCAACATGGTGAAACCCCGTCTCTACTAAAAATACAAAAAATTAGCTGGGCATGGTGGTGCGTGCCTGTAATCCCAGCTACTCAGGAGGCTGAGGCAGGAGAATTGCCTGAACCCAGGAGGCGGAGGTTGCGGTGAGCCGAGATCGCGCCATTGCACTCCAGCCTGGGTAACAAGAGCGAAATTCCGTCCCAAAAAAAAAAAAAAAAAAAAAAAAACAAAAAACTCTGTAAATGACTCAGTTATTTTATTTATCAGAGCTTCTTGAAGGGAATATTTGTAGTGAGATTTGGAAGTGAACTACCTTTGCTATCAGCTTTTGGGTGTTAAACTTTGGCTGAGTGGTAGTTTTTGTTGTGTGTGTGTGTGTGTGTGTGTGTGTGTGTGTGTGTGTTTTGTTTGAGGTGGAGTCTCGCTTTGTCACTCAGGCTGGAGTGCAGTGGTGTAATCTCGGCTGTCTGCAAACTCCACCTCCCACGTGGAGCAATACTCCTGCCTCAGCCTCCCGAGTAGCTGGGATTACAGGCAAGTGCCACCGTGCCCAGCTAATTTATTGTATTTTCAGTAGAGACGAAGTTTTGCCATGTTGGCCAGGCTGGTGTCGAACTCCTGACCTCATGATCTGCCTGCCTCGGCCTCCCAAAATGCTGGGATTACAGGCATGAGCCACACCGGTCTGTTGTGTTTTATTAATACAGAGGTTCTCAACTGGGTGTAGCATTGCCTCCAAACATTTGGCAATGTCTGGAGACATTTTTGGTTGTCATGGTTAGGGAGGTTCTAATGGCATCTGGTGGGTAGAGGCCAGTGGTGCTGCTGAACATCCGGCAGTACACAGAGCGGTCCACCAGGACAGTGATCAGGGCCATAGTCAATAATGAGGTGGCCGGGTGCAGTGGCTCACGCCTGCAATGCCAGCACTTGGGGAGGCTGAGGTGGGTGGACCGCTTGTGGCCAGGAGTTCGAGACCAGCCTGGCCAACATGGTGAAACCCTGTCTCTAGAAAAAAATACAGAAATTAGCTGGGCATGGTGGTACATGCCTGTGGTCCCAGCTACTTGCGAGGCTGAGACAGAGGATTGTTTGAGCCCAGGAGGCAGAGATTGCAGTGAGCCAAGATTGTGCCACTGCACTCCAGCCTAGGTACAGAGCGAGGCTCTCATCTTAAAAAACCCAAAAGGTTGGGGTTGAGAAACCTTGCTTTTAAAAGATGCAAGTAGCCTGGCACGGTGGCTCATGCCTGTTATCCCAGCACTTTGAGAGGCTGAGGTTGGCGGATCACTTGAGGTCAGGAGTTCAAGACCAGCCTAGCCAACATCGCGAAACTTGTTCCTACTAAAAATACAAAAATTGGCTGGGTGCAGTGGTGCACACCTGTGATCCCAGCTACTCAGGAGGCTGAGATGCATGAGAATGGCTCGAACCCAGGAGGTGGAGGCTGCAGTGAGCCAAGATCTCGCCACTGTACTCCAGCCTGGGTGACACAGCAGGACTCTGTCTCAAAAAAAAAAAAAAAGAAAAAAGAAAAAAGATACAAATACTATTCAAGATCAACATTTAAATTTATATACTTAAGAAAGAATCTTATACTTTCTAGATATTTGGAACTGAGCTATCTTGGGGCATCAGCTTTTGGTTATTATTTTACCTGGAATTAAGAAAGTATATCTTTCTTCTATACAATAGAAAGTTTTTAAAAGCTAGTTAATAATTTCAGGTGTTTTGGGCTTCTTTGTGCTTGAGTGAGTCCTCCCAGTTAATGTCTTCTGGATATTGCTAATAACTGTCACGAAAAGCCATCCTTAACACTCAAATCTGTTATGGTTAATTTATTGCTGGGTGATTGTTACAATATTACTCCTCTTAAGTAGTTTATCGAGCATTGAAAATTTTTCAGAAAACGTTGCGAGTGTGGCGCATGGTCTGTCATGACATTCTGGAAAAGATATATGAATGTTTAAATAATTATCTCATCTTGAAATCTCTGTGATTAGAAGTTACAATTTCAGTGCCACAATTATAGCAATTGATCTTTAACATTTCAATGTAATTTAAAAAATTAAGACATTGTAACTGTGGTTCTTAGTTAACTAAACAATTTAACAATTGAGTTATTTAAAAGTAGATTGAAAATATTCACCCTGTAGTTTTTTCCCCTCTTTTTTTCTCCCTCCTGATGGACAGTTAATTGCTTTAATTTGAGGGTTGGATCTCCCTCCAACTTCGGCCCTGTGAAACCTCACCAACTGTATCAAACAATCCAAATTATTGTAAAGGTTTGTGGGAGTCTGTTGCCACAATTTCAGTGCACTTCAAGTAAGAATACTCAAATGGCTGTCTCTTTCTTGGAAAATGGGGTCAAAACCAGATACACTTTGTTTATAAAAGTTGCTGGTTTGGGCTGGGTGCGCCCGTAATCCCAGCACTTTGGGAGGCCGAGGTGGGCAGATCATGAGGTCAGGAGATCGAGACCATCCTGGCTAACACGGTGAAACCCCGTCTCTACTAAAAATACAAAAAATTAGCCAGGCATGGTGGCGCGAGCCTGTAGTCCCAGCTACTCAAGAGGCTGAGGAAGAATTGCTTGAGCCAGGGAGGTGGAGGTTGCAGTGAGCCGAGATCTCACCACTGCACTCCTGGGTGACAGCGCAAGACTCTGTCTCACACACAAAGTTGCTGGTTAGCATGAGGAACCTCGAGTCTTCTTGCCAAAGAGTTCAGAGATTCCAGTTAACTGCCTATTCTTTAAAACAGGACCAGTTAATGTAGCTTATTAGAGTGGGAAGGGCCAAAATGGTTCCTTTTGGACAAACTCTTAATTTTAATTGCAGTAATCCGTGTCTCTCAGCCTGTGATACAGCAGTTCTGAATCTCATCCAAGTCAGGAAAAGTGAATTTATGAGCCTCCTAGCAACTAGCAACTGGTAAGCTGGAGTGTCTGGACCTTATCTTTATTACAACGTAGGAGCCAGCCCCGCTATTTTGGGGCACAGCCCCTCAGTCTAGACAGCTGAGATGGTGACAGGCTTGGGGAAACTGGTTTCAAGGGTATCAAATATGGTGTTGATTGCTGCCTTATGGTTGCTAGAGAACTTTAATTTGGGAAAAACTTGAAAACTCTGAAGGCAATAAGACGATGTGGTTTTTCAAGCTTCAGCAAGTTACTTTGTGGAATTCTGGAGCAGAGGGGAGTTAGGTTTAATAGTTTGTATTCTGACTATTGATGCTGTGACATGCATATCCTTGATTTTCTCCTTTGCCATGAATAAAATATTTCTCACCTCTAGCAGTGTTAAAATGGTTAATGGTCTTTGATTACACAGGCCCACCCTTCTCCATTTTTCTCAGGCATGCTCTGGTTTCTTACTCTTTCTTTCTTCGTTTTTGTTTCCTGAGACAGAATCTTGCTCTGTTCCCAGGCTGGGAGTGTGACCTTGGCTCACTGCAACCTCTACCTCTTGGGTTCAAGTGATTCTCCTGCCTCAGCCTCCGAGTAGGTGGGACTACAGGTGTGTGCCACCACACCTGGCTAAATTTTGTATTTTTAGTAGAGACGGGGATTCACCATGTTGGCCAGGATGGTCTCGAACTCTTAACCTCGTGATCCGCCCGCCTCAGCCTCCCAGAGTGCTGGGATTACAGGTATGAGCCACTGTGCCTGGCTTTTTGTTTTTTGCCTCGCCTTTCGTTTCTTTTAAACATTTTTTTTTTCTTCTGCCTGTGTGATTCTTCTGGAAGATTCCATCACAATTTTTTTTTTAAAATTAGAAATGCTGCTTTTCATTACATAAAGTGTGCCAGAATACCTGTTATAAATATTTTTTTAGTGTCGAGATTAAGGGTGGTTTTTATTTTCTTTTATTTAAAAAAAAAAAAAATTAATTAAAATTATTTTTCTTCTTCCTATATAAAAGCAACTTATTTTCTTCCGTATGATTTTCTCTAACTTTGAAAGATTTTGCCATGAATAGGAGTTACTCTTATAATTGGAAAAATCCCATTGGTGAATACACACATTCATCTTTGAGTGGGTGTGACTAGTGGCCACTTAAGGCCCCCAGAGTCATATTTCCTCGATTTGTAATCCACTTTACACATGCAGATTAATCGCAGAGTGCTCCTCTCGGCATCAAGGACCTCGGGAAGCCTAAATAGTTTGTGGGTTCTGTGAGAATGAACAAAGATGAGAAAGCCATGTGATTACATCTCAATAGAAGGATTAGCGCT